TCTCTCTCTCTTTCTCTCTCTCTCTCTCTCTCTCTGCCTCTCCCTCTCTCTCTCTCCCCGTGCAATGTGCGAGCACGAATAAGTCGACGCCAATAGAGATCTTTAGTATTTCCCCCATCTATTTTCCTACACGTGTCGCTTTTCCTCCTCGTAACTCATTTGCACAATGAATAATAACGTCACGGCGCGGAGCATATTGTCGCGGTTACCATTCGATCGCAAACAACAATGTTGTCGGTCGCGTAACAACAGCGTTATGACGCGACTGCTATGTCACACACCGACGACGTTAATCCCGAAACTGACGTATGTATCACATAAATTTCTCATGTCCGATTTCGGATTCTCGCGCATGTCGTGTAAATCTCGTAGATCTGCTCCCTTCGTCTATTTGCGAACATGCCCTTCGCCATTCTGCGTCTTCCACTACTCGCCATCGGTTGAGTTCGATCACCTAATCGTGATGGACCTCGCAAAAAACGCACGTCGATTCTGCACGGTAATAATAAATATTTCCCTTTGTTCTCATTGTACATTTCAGCCGTGTACGTTTGATGTCCCCGTTTGTACTGTCCGCGCGACTTTGTTGATGAAAGAGACGCAGCAATCGGGACACAAAAATATCGTTCGCGTAATTTGGGGATTTACATGCGGACAACATTCGCCGCGGATTTCGCCAGCGTAAAAATTGCATCGCCCGCGCGCGCACGTCATTAAGAGAGCGGACATCCAGAAAAGGCCGGAATTTAACGAGCTCCTCGGAAGGATCCGCGTTCTGGATGCAATTCGCTGCCGCGCGTCTCCTCTCTCTTTCTCTCTCTTTATTTCTATCTTTCTCTCTCTCTCTCTCTCTTTCTCTCTATCTCTCCCTCGCCGTTCTCGCGTATTCACGCCGGACGCTCATAACGAGGCTCATTTGGTGGCTGCTGCGCGACCAATGCCGACGCAGGATGGTGGCTACGGCCATGCCCAGCGGCCAATAGCACCACGTGTCATGCAGCTGTCAACGTGGCCACGCCTTTCGCCAATCCGCATTGAGCCGCGCATGACGCACTCGCGCTCTCCGACGACGCGTCGCATCGCCAGTCCCTTCTGGTGCGCGCGTAGGAGAGTGTCTCTCTCTCGCGCGGCTGCGAGAGAGACAGAACGGCCCCATTGATCTCGCCGTCTCGAGAGAAACCGTTCCTCGCGATCACCGTGCAACACGATCATCGTCGTCGAGTCACCGACGTATCACCGGAGGACAATCCGCGGTTGTTACGCGCGAGTTTGAGGTGGAGGAATCCGCGAGGGTCTTCTCCGTCGCAGAGGGAAACTCTTCTCTCTCTCTCTCTCTTTCCATCGTGTTTCCCGGTGATCGGCCTATCTCTCACCCGGTATACGCCGCCTTGCCGGAGTGAATCAGCCGAGAAAAGACCACCACTCGGCTGCGTGAAGGATCTTTCGGCACACCCGTTGTACACGAAGGCGCGGCACCCGAAAGACCAGCAGCCGCTAGTCGAATCTTACTCGCGGATCAGCCGTCTGAAGCACGTCAAGGCTGAGAGGAAGGAAGGAAAGATTGAGCCCTCTCGAGTCACCCGAAGATCGCTTCGTGGTGTAACGAAGATCACAACAATTCACGATCGTCGACACGGTGGACAAAGTGATAAAAGAGCAAGCTCCGCGACGACAAGGTGGCTCACCCTGTGACCCTGTTATCCGTTCGAGAAGGTGGGAATTCGGTGGAGGCGGTTTCGGTGACATTTTCGAGAAGCGAGTAGAGAGTGAGTGTGTGCGAGGGAGAGAGAGCGCCGCGACGAGAGGCGTCGATGGGGGTTCAAGGAGAGCGAGGGAGACGCTCGTTAAGGCGCCTCTAATAATAGCGACGCGCTCGCGAGTGTACCAAGCGATCTATAAATACGATCTCTGCCCCGTGGAAACACGAGCCCGTGGATTTCACGGTGCAACCTGTGCCGCGACAGTGAAAGAGAAACGACACGGAGGAAGCAGCGCTCGATTCGCGATCGGACCTCGCGCGAGCGTGTATCAACGACTGCGAATTAATCCAGCGAAAGTGCTCGCAACGGGAGCGGGAATGACATAACACGCTCGTGTGCGTGTAGCGAGGTTCCGAGAGAGAAGCGTTCCGGTGGTGAGATCGTGCCAAGACGAGAGAGTCAACACGGAGACGAAGATTGCGCGGAGTGAGTCGAACCTGTCGCGCTGTGATCGCCGAGCTTGCATCGTGAAGCGACAATCTTCCCGGTCGAATCGCGCTCAAGTTTGAGCAACCGACAAGGCCCAGCGACGCGTTGGAATCGCGTCACTTTTTTCTGATCGTTAGGCGCGTGTCAGACGTCGCAAGGACGAATCAGTGGGACCAAACGCGAATTAGATCGCAAGAATCTGCGAATCGCGCTTTCGCCGACCGTCGGGGACGAGAAACAGATCGCAGGGAACTGAGCTCGGTAAGGTCTCGCTGTTACGTGCTCTCCGGGGAGTTGAGCCGTGCGTGTTTTCCAGCCGCGACGTTCTCTGCTCCGGTCAGCTGGCGCGATACAGAAATATCCCGCGCCCCGAGGAGTGAGAATATTTTTCCACGCGTGCCTCTCTCCGGTCGGATGACAACAGTGGGCGAGGATCGTCGACTCGCCGATCAGACGTCCGGGTGCGAAAAGGCCGCGAGTCGATAAAAGGGCCTCATCGACGACTCATAGACGCCTCATCGACAGACTCTCGGCCATAGCGATACGCCGCGGACGGAATGCGGAGCGGTACTCGTAATCTTCTTTCGTCTCGTATTACACGCTACGCTACAGTGCAATCTGCGAGTACATATCAAAGTCTTTAAATTACTCCGACGCAATTCCGCCGGTGACTGTGATCCTCGCGAGTCGGCGAGTGCCGTTCGAGTTACATCTACGTAAGGCCGAGTGCGTTTGCAGAAAAACCGACCGGAACCCTGAGCTATTATCGTTGTTGTTTCTCTCGCAGACCTCGCAGCACCACGCCGCGTCTGCCCGGGTCACGTGTCGTCATTGAGACCTCGTCGTAAAAAGCTTGTAGGCGAGCAACGAAGGAAAACACTCAGGACCAGCCAACCATCTGAATCGACTCTCCACGGCTCATCGTGGCCCTCCATGACCGCGATCCTGCTTTTACAGACACCCCCATAAAAGAAGGAAGCTCAGGCGTTGCCTAAGGAAACTCGCCGCTGACCCACATCGGCCCCGTCAAACGCTTCCGCCGGCTCCGCATCAAAGATCCACCTAGACCATGTCGCCGGCCGGGCGCGCCGAGGTGTCTCAGTGATCCCACGGAGGATCCGACAGCGTGGAAAATGAGCGGCGAGTGAGCGGAAGTGGCGGAGGTGGTGGAGGAGAGATCCTCGGAACGGCGTGGCCGTCGGATCGAGGTTCCGTGACGCGGCTGACGCGGTCCATCCGGTCGCATAGGCGCGGGGAAGACGGTCCCGTCACCACCACGGTGGAGAGCGGCGGTGGCGTGCGGGGGGTCGTTGTGGACCCCGGAGATGACGCCATGATGGCCTACGGCGGCACCGCTGGCAACGGGGGTGCGATGGGCCCGTCGTCCGGCGGCGCGGACGTCTTGGGCTCCGCGGGGGATTACAGCCCCCAGAGTACGCCCACGCCCTTGACGGGACACTCGTCGGGCTCGGTGGAGAATGCCTATACGCCCGGTACGACCGGAGCGGCCAGCTACAGTCCGCAGGATAGCCCGGCGAGCTCCGCCGGCGGCAGCGGCAATGGCCAGCTGCCGAGCTTCGGCTTCACGCAGGAGCAGGTCGCGTGTGTCTGCGAGGTAAGTCGTGTGCCGGCTTGCTACCGCTTCGCAGGGCTCTCCTAGAGAGCCTCCTCTGGTCAGGAGACACGAAGATGTCTAAATGACGCGCCAGTCGATAAGAGTAAAGTTAAATGTTTAACCTTGAAAGAGACCCATACACCAAAGCATATAAAATTTGGTTCAAGTTATCCTCGGGAGGAAAAGAGAGAGAGAAGATATTTCGCAAATGAAAAACGTCGGACAGAAAAGAAATTTTAAAAAGTGATTGAAAAAGATGAGTCAAATTGAGTGATTTGAAAAAGATGAGGGAAAAGAGGGAGGATCGAGTAATTACCGCGATGATTTTGGCCTGTATATTCTAAAAATACTTTGTACTTTGTTGCGTCGGAAGATTTCAGTGGGCGAATTGCTCGAAAGCGCCTGAATGAGCGAGTCATACTTAATCGCGGCACAGTGTCATTTAGACGTTTGCGTTGCGTGGCTCTGCGCAACGTTAATTTCGACCTCCTGCTTCGTGACTCTTATTGGAGGGTTTCCAGTCGCTTGTCGCTCGCGCTTGTTCGCGAGGGTGCAATCAGCCGATTGCTCAATGCGGCGCGTCGCGATCGCAGAACATGCGGCATGTTAAACTCGGGTATTCCTCGCGGGAACGCGCACGGATACGATAAACGCTAATGTTCGGTCCCGACGACCGCGCAGTACATATTTACAATCTCACAAACGTAACACGACGGCTCTCACTAATTATACTTTCAAAATAGCGTCATTAACCCAAAAATGTAGGTCTCCGATGACTTACACCATGCGAAATTATAAACTATAAGTTAATTAAAACCTCGAGACGCGCACGATATTTCGGCGAAAGGCGCCGATCGGTTCGCGAGAAAAATACTTGAGAATCGAGAACTCACCTGCGACGAATCTCGCGGTAATTTTTTTTACTTCACGTTGCGAATTTCCCTCATTTCTCGAACGTCCAAGCTTAAATAGAGAGATACGAACGCACGCGAGTGATGTCTCGAGATGTGGAGATCACGAAGATTACGTATGTACGACGAGAAAATCGTCGGCGCGGTCGTCAGGAGGCCGACAATACGTGGCGTTTATTTTGCCAAGATTCGCCTGCATGTCACACGCTTCCATGGAATCTGCACGATTTTACTGTAACATGTACATTGTTTTGCGCGCGACGTTTGTCTGCGTCGAACGTCCTACGTGAACTCGTCCCGCACGCGAGGGAAAGACGCGGATTCTTCCCGCGCTTGGCAATGCACCCGCTAATTGCTCAACGCACACTCGTGTCAAGACGCAAATCACTCACGCCGAGATCCCACGTGATCGATTCGCGAAGATCAGAGTTGTCGGCGAAGATCGAGGTCTCGGGTAAATTTCTTTGCCTGAACGAAGCTTTAATGGATGAGCTACAATCGCGCAGAGTTTGCATTGTTCGCATCGGGAAAAAACACTCGAGTCGAATTTGTTCACAGGATGTTGGGATTAGATTTTTTTTCGCAGTGTAAAGACGAGATCAAATCATAAAAATGATATATTGCGAAAAAATTTATTGTTGTGCATTTTTTTTATTTTTATCTCTTATATTACACTAAGAGAGCAAAATGATTGATATGATTAAAATTAGCATTATTTTTGGCACGAATCATAATTTTTTTCGACTTTACTATATTTCTAGTAGTTCAGAAATGGCCTGTCAGTAAAGTCTATCTTGCCAAGTAACATAGGAAATTTCGCTAGAAATATAGCAGTTGTTTTAATAACATACTTTAGTTCCTAAAATATAAGTAGCACATATGAAATGAAAGAACATAATAAATTACTACAAAATGTCGATCTATTCCTTGACTACAAAAATCTATAGTAATTTTTACCACAAAATTCTTTCATTTTCACATACCGAAATGGTGATGGTAACATGTGCGTATAGGATTATTATCGCTAACATTATAGTAGAATTTAATTTAAAAAAATAGTTTTCTTGACCATAATGTTCCAATATAGTCTTACATATTCAAAACATCTTTTTTATTGAGAAACGAGTTTCCACAAAGATACGTTGTACATCTCCAACGTTAATTCTTAAGTAATATGTCAGAAGATAATCGTCGCGAGCGATTGGAGAAGCGCGACGATCTCGGCAGGCGGGCCAGCGTCGCGAGATAATACCGAGTGTGCGAAAAGACGGGTTCTGCCAGACGCGGAAGTAATCGGCCGCAGTTGATCGAGACTGCGTCGTTGCACGACGCGTGTGTTTGCACGTGCTGTGTATTCCCGTGTTGGGCGCTATAATTATGCGGCTAGACTTTAACTCCTTGCCCACGTCGCACAGACCGATCACGGCGCGCGAATTCCGCGAAGTAAATTTCGAGGATCTCCCGCGAAGATCGCCCTGTCATATGGACGAGTCGTGACCCGCCAGATTGGGGTCGCTATCGCGTATCGATTTGTTCAAAAATATAGTGATCGCTGCCACTCTCTGTGACACGTGGGCGCTAGTTGTCTTGTATCATTCGAGGTATCCACGATAGATCTCTTTTTGTCGAGGCATTTTTGTCGGAGGAAGTATAAATCGCCGGTTTCACCGGATGTCGATCGATCTCGCCCGGTTCTCGTCGAATTTCGCGACATCGATCTCGTATTCTGGAAAAAGTGGGGAGACGGCAAGACTGGATAATTTTCCCTTAAATTGGATTACATTATTTTAGAACATCGATCTCGAGTCCCGATTTAGCGGCATAGTCCGACGCGTTAAATTATGCTATTATTTCATTCGGCTTGAGTATTATTTCTCAATCCCGACAGTCCTTCACGTCCACGTATGTATTGCGCGTATTCGTGCGCGAGGTGATACTTGAAATTCAGCGAGAGAATTTCGATTTGATTATCATTTCCCGGCACATCCGCGGACCTTCCATTGTGTCGCGCGGCAAGATGGTCGAGATTCCATGAGCGTTTCGCGAAAATTCAGCGACGACATCCAATGACGACTGCGAGCAAGCAAAGGTGACAAGTGTACAGAGCTCGTGTCGCTAATTAAACGATGATTAAAGATCCGACTATGCACAATTGGTGACGTCTTAACTCCGTGTCAGTGGTGCGCTTCTGCGGCCATTCATTCTAGTGATTAACTTTCCGTCAGAAGGATATTAATATTCTCTACTGTTGGTCCGATTCTTCTTCCATTTAATTGCAATTACACGCGTTCGCGTTGCCCGAATAGATTCTCAAGGAAGTAGAAAGAGAAGCTTAAGAAGTGACAAAGAACGCCTAATTAATGTCGAATATTTACTAAAGAAAAAAGAAGGAGGATTTTTAGTATGAATTTTTCTTACTGTTTTGGTCTTTACGAATATCTAAACTTTACGAATATCTAAAATACGAATATCTAAACTTTTAACATAAAACATATATATTGGTATATTGAGAGGAGAAATATCTCTAAAAAATAAGGAAATATCTATTCGCGCAGTAGAGCTAAATAATATGTTTACTTATTCTACCATAAAATACCTCTCAAATAAGAAAATATACATTCTCTTGAAATAAAATATATAAATATAAAAATATACATTCTCTTAGATTTTCATGAAAACAATTGTGTTTATTCTACTTAAATAAAAAAATTTAGATTCAAGTAAATATATATATATATATATATATATATATATATATATATATA